GCTCCATTCTTTCCATGGATCCGGCCACACACCTCGAGTCCTCTCTGAAGGACCTCATTCTCTTCCATTCTACGTGCAATCCCAGAGCAGATAACTTCAGTCCACATCCAGAACTGCCTGTTTCTCAAGGCCTCTTCTGCTCCTGCCTAGTCCAGGCCACCACCCTGGACTGTAGTCAGAGTTTCTTAGGTGCGTTCCTTGGTCCATTCTATTCCCCACTCAGAAGACAGCGTGGCGATTTGCGACTTCACACGGCTTGTGTCATTCTTCTCAAAACTTGCCTGTGGTGCTCACCCCACTCAGAAAAGGAGCCAATGAGCCTCTACGTGATCTGGTCCCCCCACCGCTTGTAGTTCTCATTCTCCCCACATTTACTCCATGCGAGCACTGCTGGGCTCGGTGCAGCTCTTCCTCCAAAAGTGCTTCCACCCCAGGGTCATTATGATGCTTGTTCCTTTCAGGCAGAGCAGGTACCTGGGTGGTTTGCTACTCTTCCTCACCTCCTTCACATATCTGCTTAAGCATCCTTTAGAAATGTGGCATTCGCAGATCACAATAAATAAATAAGGACTTCGGCTACCACCCCTAACACTGCATAATGCTCTATTATCCTACTTTCAAGTTTCCTGTATCTCTTCTTGTTGTAACACATCGAGTATGGTATTGCCTTTGTTATATTTATTTATTCATTATCTGTCTCCCGTGATTAAACGGTAAGCGCCACACAGAAATGAAGTTGCTGTTTTTACTGCTCCATCCCCAGCACCTAGAACTGTGCCTGGCATTTTGTCAGCCCTCGCTAAGTATTTGGTCAATGAGTGAATGAAAAACTAGCACTCTATAATTAGGCATTATCTACGTAGAATATGTAAATCCAAGTGTATTTGTTGAAAGGACCTGGTCAGCTTAAAAGAAGATGATCGAGAAAAAAAGAGCATGAAAGTCAAAAAAAAAAATAAAAGGAAGGCATCTACTTTCAAAACCCATATTCTCCAACTATGATGAGATTAATATGAGGAAGAAAAATTGGGTTTCTCTGAATAGCCCAAGGATTGCTCCCATGCATTCTCAGGCCCAAACTGCTGTTTGTGAAGAAAAGGAATTAGTTTCCTTACAAATCTCTGTAGGCAAGTTTATTTTTAACATTTCTTGTAGCATATTTCTAGCAAACCCCAGAAAAGGGGAAGTTTAAACAGGAAAAAAAAAAGAAAGGAAAAGAGATGACTTTTATCCATAGGGGCTAACTTCCCTGAGGAATTTGACGTGAGTGAGAAATAAAGGGACTATGTTTTACAGATGGAATTTCTTAATGCTCCTCAATAAAAATGTTTTTTTAAAAAGTCAACAAAAGTAATGAGTCAAGCATAAGACAAATCAAGAACACAGGAGCAGATTTAGACTTTTCAAGACAATCCTACTGGGAACTCTCAACCATCCAGATGCTTTTGGCCACCAACACATTTAGGATTGGCTACTGGCCACTTAGTTGAGCTACGTGGGAAATAATTTTGAGGATCAGAAATAGAAAAGAGGCCTTTATGTAGATCACAGATAAAATGCATCACTGACTCAGAACTTACCTTAATGAAAATGAAGTCACCCTTTGGTATCCATTTACCTATGATAGATGGAATTCTAAAAATGTTGTCCCAAGATTCCCATTCTAACTCCTAGAACTATTAATATGATAAGAAAGCATGCCTGTCGATATGATATATCATAAGGCAAGGCAAAAGGGACCTTGAAGGTGTAACTAAGGTCACTAATGAGAGACCTTAACATAGGCAGTTATCCTGGATTATCTAGGGGAGCTTAATCTAATCACACAAGACCTTAAAAGCAGGGAGTTTTCTCCGGCTGATGACAGGAGATCTCTGAGAGATCTGAATTACCAGAAGGATTGGAAATATCACTGCTGACTTGGGAAGGATACTGGAGGCTTCTAGAAGCTGACAGCAGATTCTGCCAGGAAAGAAGGAGAGACCTCAGTTCCCAACCCACAAAGAGCTGATTCTACCAAAGACCTGAATGAGTTTGGAAGTGAATTCTCCTCCAGATTCTCCAGCTAAGAGCTCAAGCCCAGCAGATCCCGACTTCAGCCTTTTGAGACCCTAAACAGAGAACGAAGCCAAGCTCACCCAGACTTGTGACCTACAGGAATGTGAGGTAATAAGTGAGCCTTGCTAAGTTGTGGTCATTTGTTATGGAACAGTGGCAACTAACCCCAACTCAGAGAGCAAACTGAAGCACGAGGAGATTTTCCAGAATTAGGTCTTCCTAAAACGCAGTCTATTTAAAACGTTTTGGAAAAATGGCCCTTTTGTTCTCCCCTCTGATCCTACCAAAGCCTGGCTGCATGTTTTGCTTAATATTTGTTGCTAGAATCTCTGTTTTACGATCAGATCTTTGTATTGACCCTGGCTACATGCAAAAGATACAGAGAGCAAAAAGAGTTCCACAGGATGAATAATCCCTTTGTCGGGGGTTCAGGAGTGAAGGGTACATAGGAAGGTGTAAATTGTGAGATACGCTCTCAATTCCATTCCTTTGCTCTTCCCCTTTCCTTCTCTTTTCCCCATAAACCAGGTACTCTCAAGTTATTCTCTAGAAACTTTGCTTCCACTCACTACCCCTACAATGAGGGGTCCCCACCCAGGCTGGCCTCCCCTGAGAATGTCTCATACTACAGACCTACCCAATCTAGAGAAAATACTTAATACACATGGTCACTCCCTTCGTGCACCCATGGAATATACCACTAGATCTACGGATGAATCAGTACATCTATTGATGTTGGAATTCGGCATGACTCTTGCTACATCCAGACACAGCTTCATATTCTTCCTACCAGCAGCGTTTCAGGCACCTCCTAGTTATCAAGATGGTGCTTTAGATGATGTCTATTTCACATTTTCACCTCTTCCATCCATCACCTCCACCTTTCACTCTTCACCATTAAAACAAAAACAAAAACTTAGTTTCTCTCAGTTAATGTGAATAGGAAAGCAATCTCATTAAAACATGTCACGTTATGACAAATGTATTTAAAATAAGACATGTATCTAAGAGTAGAGTTCCCTATCTGGAGAAATTGCAGGCCAGGTGACCAAAGAAGAACACCAGAAGTATGAAAAACTGTCTTGGTTGTAGCTATTCCAAGAATGGTAGAAGGAAGCTTTTAAGCTACTGCCTATGCCTCCACCTGCCTGCATAACAGACGGGAGAAAAGATACACATAATCGAGCTTTGTGGGTGGCACACTGGGCTGTGTTCCCCTCTGTCATCCAGTGGTTTTCTAAGGTGAGTACATTGAATCGAAAGTGATGGCCTCAGGACAATTACTCTAAACTTAAATATTCAATCCTTCAGTGTCATTTATCATGCAAATGGTTCCCCACTTCTTTTATCCAGGAATGGATCCTGGTGATTCCTTTGTTAGCAAGGGTTACTTGGTGTGTTTCTTCCTCTGGGAAGCTTCTGTCTGTTTCTCCCCTCATAAATCTGGGAAAGGCTACAGATGTCTCATGCAGGAAAAGAGTTGAACTGTACTTACCCAGAGAAGAAGATCCGGATGACTGCGTAAAAGATGTCTGGATCTACATAATCTAGAGGAGCAATCAAAATGTGAACTTTACTACAGGCAAAAAAAGCAATTGGTTCCACATGCACGGGCTCTGCTGCCCTCCCAGGACACCCCCTCTATCTGATCTGCACAGAAACCTGGAGGGAACACAGCAGCAGGAGGGGGAGGAATGTTCCCTTCTGTCGCTCCCCTCACTGGCGCTGACGGGAGGGTTAAACGGTTCCAAATGCTGCCTTTTTCTATTTGTGGTTACTTCCCTCTTCTGCACTTAACAACAATCACCAAAAAGAGAGGTCAAGGCCATCTTTAAAAAATTAGTATTTTAAACAGCCAGAGAGAATGAAAGAACGTGGGAAGCAGAAAGGAGAAAAGCAGAGAGAAAGGATCTGCTCTCTTCAAGGCTTTCAGAAGAGAGGACCGCTGAACCCCTGGGTGCATTTCTGTGTCGTCAACAAAGGGCAGAGAGTGGAGGATCCTCTGCTCAGGCTCTGCCACACTTGGTCAGACACAGGCTCACTCATTAGTCCGTGCAGCTCGTTGTGTGTGTGTCTGTTGTTGTTGTTGTTGTTTCTGTTTGGGGGGGGTTTTCTTTTGACGGTGCCACATGTGGGACCTTAGTTCCCCAACCAGGGATCCAACCCACGCCCTCTGCATTGGAAGCACCTAGTCTTAACCACTGGACCACAGGGAAGTCCCTATGCTGCTATTTTGAATGTAAGCCAATGCGTGGGGATAACTGATCCCACTCGCTTGTTAACTTGTGTGTGTAAGGAAGCACGTCCTCACGTTTGCACCGAATTTCTTTTCATCCACTTTTGAACGTTATTCTCTCTTCTTCTCACAATGGGGCCCCTCTGGGAGCTGACATGTTTCTCTCATCCAGATTCCTGTCTATGTCTCTTTGTTTCGGAGAAAAAAAGAAACATCTTTTTGATGAGACCTAAATAATGGCATCTCTATACCATCAATTGACCTTTTCCACCATCACACCTGATCTCTGGTCTTCCATCTCTGTCTTCTCTGAAGCCCCCTGGGCTCAGGTAACTCACATCTCCCATCAGCCTCAGGGCTTCCCAGGGCCTCTGAGGGCTGTCACATCCTCCCTGCTCATTTGCGACACCATCCCATGTGCTGGACTTTTCTCTGGGCCCTATTTCTGGGTCTTTCCCATTTGGTGCTCTGTTCCCACAAATATGCTAAGTACTATGTACAAATTTTTGCTGAAGCAGTAATGATTGGAGATAATTTAATGTTTTACCCAACTTATCATATTTAAGGAGGAAAAGCCAAATGATTACTTCAGTAAATGTGAGATAATTTTTTCTTTTTTTTTTTTGGCTGTACCACATGGCTTGCAGAATCTCAGTTCCCTGATCAGGAACTGAATCCAGGCCCTCGGCAGTGAAAGTGCAGAGTCCTAACCACTGGACTGCCAGGGAATTCCCACATGTGAGATAAGTTTGATGTCAAATTTTCAATAGATATAAAAAAATCCATTCATGATTAAGACAAACAAAAACTTTTAGCTAATTAGGAATAGGAGGGAACATCCTTAAACTGATAATAGGAAGCCACAGAAAGCCTCCAGTGCATGTTACACTTAACGTTGAAATATTATAAATGTCTTTTAAAATGTCAGACAAAACCAAGTATCAGCACGTCCATTCAACACTGTGTTAGGCATCCCCTCGCCTGAAGAATAAGAATAAAAATTGAAAGAAAAAAGTTATGAGTATTTAAATGAAAAAACAAAACAATGTTATTCTCAAATAATATGATTTCTACATAGAAAACCTAGATAATCAACAGATCATCATTAGAATGAATAAGAGTGTTTATCAAAGGGCTAGATTCAAGGTTCACACTAAATATCAATTTCATTCTATAAACCAAGAACAAACAGGAATTAGTTCAGTCAAAAGACGCCATATTGGCTAGAAACAAAAATATAAAGTAACTATGAATAAAGCAGAATATATCTAAATCTCTTATGTTGAAATAAGTCAAAGTAATTTAAGAAAATGTGTCTTTGTTCATGGACAAGAAAACTCAGTATCTATATCCAGGAAAATAAATGTATCTAAAGAAGAGTTTTTTGTTTTGTTTATTTTGTTTTTATTGTATATTCAAATATTTAATGTAATTACTGATATATTTGGGTTATATATACACTTTTATTTATTTTGTCTTTGTCTCCTATTCTCTGTTCCCTTTTTTCTTCTTTTTTGACTTTCATGAAAAAAATGTTTTAAATTATTTTATTTCCCCCCTTATTATCATTAGTTTCCCCCTCTTAATGCTATTCTTTTAGTAGTCATTCTTGAGATTACAACAGGTAGCTTTGATTCAATAGATCTACGAAATTTAGTACTTTGACCACTTCCCAATCAATACAAGGTCTGTAGAATACTTTATCCTCTTTAACCCCTTCGCCTTTTGTGCTATTGTTATCATTTATTTTATTTCTACGTACATTTTAAACCTACATTATTATTGTTGTATAAATTCAATAATCATTTGAATTTAACCACATAGTTACCATCTCTTGCTCTTCATTCTGTCCTGTATTTCTGTGCTTACATCCGGAATCTTTGTACTTTTGCCCGAAGAACTCAATCGAATATTTATTTTAGTGTGGGTCCTTTGGCAATAAGTTTTCAGAGTTTTTATTTGCCTGAAAATATCTTTGTTTTAATTTCAAATTTGAAAGATATTTTGGCTAGGTGTGTAATGCCAAATTGGAAGTTATTTTCTTTCTGCACTTCAGTGGTACCATTCCATTTTCTTGGTTTCTTTTTTTCTGTTGACGAGTCTTCTTATTTCTTTAAAGAAGAGTTTTCTATCTGGATAAATTTCAGGCCATGTGGGAAGAGAAGAACGCCCAGCAATATGAAGACATGATTCCGAGAGCACGTTAATGTCTTTACATTAGTCTCCACCTGTCCATCCGCCCTGATCAGAGGACAGAAGGACCAGATAGAATATCAAAATCAGGTAATTTTTCTCCAAATTAATATACAGATTTAATGCCATTTGAGCAAAATTCTTAACAGAATTTTTTTATTGGGATTTGACAAGCTGATTCTAAGTTTATATGAAAAGCAAAGGGTCAAAGACAGGATGCGCGCCCCTGGAGAAGAGAAAAGTGAGGGGGATTTTCTCTACCTGAAAATGAGAAATACTATGAAGCTATGGTTCATTTAAGACAGATGGTTTTTGTGTGGGGAAAGACAAACAGACAATGAAACAGAATAGGGAGCCTGGAAAGAGATCCAATCATTTAAGAAAATCTGATGTAAGACAGTGTTAATATTGTAGGTTAGTGATTATTCACAGAAGGGAAATTGAATTTATTTCCTATGTCATACTGTATAGAGATAATAATTATATGTGTATTAAGGGGTGAAAGGTGAAAGACAAACAACATCAACTACAGAAAAAAATGTAGAAAAATCTATCTATGACCTCTGATTATGAAATTATATCTTACGCCACACTTCCTAAAAATAAACTGTTACAAAAGAAACTACAAATACTTTGACTATACTTAAATTAAGAACTTCTGCTTTCACAAGGCAGAATGAGAAAAACCACAACACTTGCAATCCATAACTAACAAAGATCACCCTCCAGAGTGTACCCAAAAACTTATTAAAGGCAATGAGTAAAAGATAAAAGACATTTCCAAAAATAAGGAAAGCCATGCACTTCACAAATCAGGGACACACGCGATGAGCACGCAGGAGCACAGGCCCTTCCACCCCCATCCCAGACACACAGACGGTTAACTCATTAGAAAACAGGGAGATGCAAGAGTGACATCATCAGCATGGCAGAATAAGAGTTTTCGACTGTCTTCCCCCCAAAGAACATTGTTTTAGACAGTCACCCGTGGATAAGACAGCATTTGTGGAAGTCCAGGAGTCCAGCGAAAGGTTCCCGAACACCACTGGAGCAAAAAAAAAAAAAAAAATCTAAGAGTAGATGCACTGAAGAGGGTAAGAAGAATATTTCACTTTACCCACATCACCCCTTCCCCAGGGCAGCACAGCAGAGGGCCAAGAGAGACCTTCTTGGCAGACTCCTGAGGGTGGCAAGAGTGAGCCTTTGCAGATAGGTAGCGAGCAAGTACAGCGGGACTCTGTGGGATTGGGAGAAAGCAAACACACTTGAGAGTTTAGCACTGCCCTAGGGGAAGCAAAGGAAGAATGTCAGCTCCTGGCCTGGCTTTACAGGATCCAAAGAAGGCATGCACGACGATGAGTACTAGAAATTCTGCCACAAGAGGGAGCAAAAAGATTGGAGCAGGTGTATCCATAGACGTGTGAAAAAGCCTCAGAATCCCTACCGGGGCTGACGGAAGGTATTTCTCTCCCTAAACCAGATAGAGAACATCTATTAACGTGGGGCTGGTGAGGGACAAGGGCCACATAAAAACTCTTGCTTCTGGATCTGATGTGTGTACACTTGGGCTGAGAAGGGCAGTTCCTGAAAGCCAGTGCCATTATCCTCCAGGGAGCATAGAAGACCCAAGAAGACACCTGAGTTACATCTCCCCCCTTTCCTTCCCTGTGTCTTCCTAGAGGAGTGGAAAAATGGCCCCATGGACTGCAGTTTCTGCCCCGATGGCCAAGCCCAGGTGCACTTAGTGGATGGGGCTAGATGTCTTCCAAAGTTGCTGTTGTTATTGTTCAGAAAAACACAAAACACTTTGGTCAAGTATCTTGTTCTTTTAAATCTAAGTGACTCTCAAGAAAAAAACAATGTCTGCTTTTGATTAGTTCACTCTCATCTCATTCTATCATAAGCATTATTTTTGTTTCGCTTGGAAAACCTAAGGAAACTTGTTTTTTCAACTTTTCAGGGGTAGGGATTTAGGTTTTATACTGAGAAGTGGCCTTTAAAGAAAACAAAACTCAGCAAATCCTTGCTTTGGGTCAGTACGAAAGCCACAGACCCAGAACCACTGCAGTATTTTCATATGACATCATTAATGTTCATTATGGTCATCCTACCCAGAAAGGTAAGGCAGTCAATGCTCCATTACTGACACCCAAAACGAAGCACTGTAGGTACCTAACTGAAATATACATCTGATCGACCTGACCACCAAACTGTCTTTTTTGGGTAATTCCCACTTTTTTTTTTTTTTTTTTTTTTTTTCAGTACGCGGGCCTCTCACTGCTGTGGCCTCTCCCGTTGCGGAGCACAGGCTCCGGACGCGCAGGCTCAGTGGCCATGGCTCACGGGCCCAGGCGCTCCGCGGCATGTGGGATCTTCCCGGACCGGGGCACGAACCTGCGTCTCCTGAATCTGCAGGCGGACTCTCAACCACTGCGCCACCAGGGAAGCCCGCCGTAATTCCCACTTTTAAAGCCACATATTTCCACTGAATGTCTCACCATCACCTTAAATGTGACATGTTTCAAAGCAAGTATTGTTTCCTTTCCCTGTGCTCCCTATTTACTTTGAAACTCAATCTGCCAACCAAGCAGAACTTGATTCAATCTTCCAAATAACAGATCTGTGCCAGAGGCCTCGTGACTTTTTTCAGCCAGCTTTGAAATCATACGTATTTATGTACCCTTGACCCCTCCTCCTGCCTCGGCTCACGCCTAAGCTCTGCCAATCCTCAGCCCTTCTCCTTGGGGAGTCTTGTTTATGTCTCCTGTGGCTCCATCCCTTGCCCCATTCCTGGGTGTGGCAGCATTGCTGATAGGGTTTAAGCAGCTATAGATGCCTGGATGAGACCAGGGCTTAAATCTGAGGGTAAACAGGAGTTAAGTAGGCAGAGGGTGAGTTAGGAAGAATGTCTGAGGCAGAAGGAATCGTCCGTACACGAGCCTTGAAGTGGAAGAAGTTCTTTTCAGGAGCTAAAAGCTAGTGTCCGAAAGAATAAGTGAAGGGAAAGATGATGTGAAATAAATTGAAATGAAAATAGCCTGGGGTCAGTTCATCTTGGGTCTTGCAGAATAGGTTAAGGATTTTGGCCTTATCCTTAGAATAATGGATAAACTAGTGCTTTCGGTTGAAATCTAATGTGATAGACACGTGTAGTTTTAAATTTTCCAGTAGCCATATTTCAAAAGGTAAAAAGAAAAGGAAAAATTAATATCAATAGTATATTTTAGTTAACTCCAAATATCAAAAATACTATCATTTCGGTATGTAATCAATATAAAAATTATTAATGTGGTTTTTAAAAATAATTATTTGAAATCCTGGGTATATTCTTATAGATTTAAAACTTATTTTATACTTAGAGTGCATTTTAATTCAATGCTGAATTTTCCACAGTTAAGTGAAAGGTAATCTTTCTAACAATAAAGCTGCATCTAACAGAAAAATATGTGACACTGATTCAGTTTTTCGACTTCAGTTTCAATTAGCTAAATTTAAATACAATTAAAAATTTAGGGCTTCCCTGGTGGCGCAGTGGTTGAGAGTCCGCCTGCCGATGCAGGGGACACGGGTTCCTGCCCCAGTCCGGGAAGATCCCACATGTCGCGGAGCGGCTGGGCCCGTGAGCCATGGCCGCTGAGCCTGCGCGTCCGGAGCCTGTGCTCCGCAACGGGAGAGGCCACAACGGTGAGAGGCCCGCGTACCAAAAAAAAAAAAAAAAAATTTAGTTCCTCAATCACACCGTCCATATAGCAAGTGTTCAGTGGCTGCGTGTGGCTGGAGGTTACCATATTGGACTGTGCCAGGAGGGCAACGGGAGGGTTTTAAGAGTCAAAGTGATGCAACCGATCTGCACTCCTAAGAGTTGGTTCAGGCTTCTGTGAAGAGCATGGATTCGACTAGGTAAAGGACAGGTGAGAGAAAGGATTGAGAAGGCCACTGCAGGAGTGCTGGCGGGAGATATGATAGCCAGGTGCAGAGGAAGTGATGGTGGAAACACAGGGAAAGGAAGAGATGACAACAGTACTCCAGAAAGAGACTTCCCTTTGTGGTAATGGAATGTTGTTTTACTTGGACCTATCCTTCCCCTGACAAAAACAACAGAAAGCTGGGTAAATGTGAAAACATCCTAAAGGCCATCAAAGAGCTCAAAAGACAGCAAGGAACCACCGAGCAAACATTGCAAGGGAAAGCAGAAACCCAAGGAGGTAGAAAACAAGACCAGCAGAGATAGCGTTCCCTGAAATCACTTGCCCATCCGGGTTCGCCAGGGCTCTGGTTTAGTGGCTTCTCTGTACGATGGGAGCCCTGGTCCCAGCTTTGGTGAGGAATTTTACACCAGACTCTCCTCATATTATCCGCAGAGCCCCAAATGCCTATACTCACAACCTCCGAGTGAATCAGGGCCCCCCTGTACCCCCGTTTGCCACAGGAGGCAGAATTAGAACTAACTTTGGCACCAAGCCAAAGAGGATTAAAAAAAAAATCTGTCCCTGAAAAGTCGTGACCTTTTCTTTTGCACATTTTTAGCCCAAGTTCAGTTGTCGGGTCCTTACGTGTTCAACATGATTTAAGATGATCCAGAATTTTAGAGTTCCAAAGAACCAGGAAGAACCAAATATTTCTCTCTCCTAGTCCCAAAAGCCTGCCTGCAGATGATGTTTCAAAGACAATGAACATTACAAGCTGAAAACAAAATCAAGCTGAGAAAAAAACACGGCAACCACTGTGAGGACTGAAAAAGGAAGAGAAGGTTAGAAAACAAGAAGGAAACAGAAACCAGTTTCAAATATTAGAATGACCACATCTTTAGGCATGACTTTGAAAATTCCTGGAAAGGAGGGTTTATACAGGAAGGGAGTACACAATTCGTGCTAAAGTTTGGCTCCGAAAGAAGAATGGTTGGGTAAGCTCCATTTGGGGGAGGACAGCAGTGCAGCTGGGCTCTATTTATCAGGCAGAAGAAATTCAACAACCATAAACCACAATCAACCACTAACAAGTCCATGTGATTCCTTACACCTTGCAGTTTTTATTGTTCGTTATCATTTTTTTTTTTTTTAATTGCTGTACGCAGGCCTCTCACTGTTGTGGCCTCTCCCGCTGCGGAGCGGACGCGCAGGCTCAGCGGCCATGGCTCACGGGCCCAGCCGCTCCGCGGCATGTGGGATCCTCCCGGACCGGGGCACGAACCCGTGTCCCCTGCATCGGCAGGCGGACTCTCAACCACTGCGCCACCAGGGAAGGCTGTTATCATTTTTATAATTTTACTTTTCTGGTTACTGTGGCTGCATAACAAACCACTCCAAACTCAGTGGCACAAAATAACCATTGTATTATGCTCATGGACTCAGGGCAGGAATCAGGGCGAGACACAGTGGAGATGGCCTGTCTCTGCTTCTCAGTGGTTGGGTCCTCCGCTGAGGAAATGGAAGAGTGAGGATGCCTGGAAAGTGGGAACTCAGACTCATCTGAGGGCTTATTCGCCCCTGTGCTAGGTGCTAATTGGAGCAGCTACAGTTGGCCTCCCTGTGTGGTTTGACATCTTCATTCACAGCCCTGGTGGCCACAGAGTAGATGGAGTTTTTACATGGCGGCTCAGTATACAGGGTGGCAGCTGCAACACTTTTTCTAGCCTTGTCTGGGAAGTCACGCTGTGTCACTTCCGCTGAGTTCTACTGATCGCGAGCATGTCACAAGCCCGCCTACGTCACAAGCCAGGACACGGGCTTTGATGAGAGGAATATCCGGACCACACTGTAAAGGAGCCCTGAGGATGGAGGGCGGTGGTGTGGCCATTTTTGAAAACTGCAGGCTGATACATTCATCTATTTCACTGCAGTGACTAGTAGTGAAACCTTTAAAATACAGGATGTCGGGCTTCCCTGGTGGCGCAGTGGTTAAGAGTCCGCCTGCCAACGCAGGGGACACGGGTTCGTGCCCCGGTCCGGGAAGATCCCACATGCCGCGGAGCGGCTGGGCCCGTGAGCCATGGCCGCTGAGCCTGCGCATCCGGAGCCTGTGCTCCGCAACGGGAGAGGCCACAGCAGTGAGAGGCCCGCGTACCGCAAATAAATAAATAAAATAAAATACATGATGTCTGTGTGGGAAAATTTGCCTTTGGGGGACACAAGGGAAATCACCCCATCACCTGCCCAGGCCATCAGACCTCCTGCAGAGGATGATCAAGAAAGCATCAGGGTTGGCCTGGGTTGAATACGTGACTTTGAAAATGAGTGCTAGGGAAGCGTGTGAGAGCCAGACAGGGCTGTGCCACCTTACTGGGACACGCCCTGGGACAGGGTGGAGGGCCTCCTGTGACCTTCCAAACCACTCACTGCTGCTTATGCCTAAGATCTGAAGACCCTGCAACGCGCCTCTAGCGGTCTTCACATCCTGAGTAATAAACGCAGGCCATCTTGCAAAACTAAAATCCATCTCCCTGAGCTGGGAGAGCTTGTTTGGCAGGAGACCTACTGATGTGATCGGGAGGAATTTACAATTAAAAATCAGGGCAATGGGGAGATGTGAGTCAAACGTGTAAAACAGGGGCCTTGAATGGAAAGAATACATAACCCGGTGACTTCCGATGGACGTCCCAGAGAGTCTGGGATGACAAAGAAATCTATCCTTTGAATGAAAAGTCACAAAGCTGAGTACCATCCGGTCTCCGGCTCCCTCCCTCCTGCCCCGTTTCCTACAAACACTCTCTTTTTCCAGAATCTGTTTTGTTTTTCAGTGAAGAAGGACTTAGGGGAACTGAAACTTAGCTGCTTTTCCCTTGCTAAAAAGATCACGCCCATTTTCCCCCTTAAATTTTTGAGATTCTTCTGCTAGGGGAAGTTGAAGAGCTGCCCAGACATTGGAGAGGAAGGCAGTTGCCAGAATAATATGTAACCAGTTGCAGCAAGGGTGGGCCCCTTAAGTGGCCACACTTGTGGTAACCCATCCCTGCACTGGTCACAGACGAGGGCTGAAGAAGCCAAGGTCAGTCATGTCCTCCGGTACCAAGGTCACTGCTGGATAAAGCAGGTACAAGCCATGTAGTGTGCCCTTCCCCTCCTCCCAAGCTTCGTGCAAGACCTCAACGCACAAAGAAATACATGGCAGCCAAAGAGAGGAAATTAGCCTAATCACATGAAAATAGAAAGACTATACCAGGAGAATATCCCTGCCAACTGAGAGATCATTTTCCAATAGCATGAGCGGCAGTTACCTAAAACAAAGCTAGCACAGCAGTGCCATCTCATGGACGTTGCCAACCTCCAG